CGCAGCGCGTCCGCAGCGCGTCCGCAGCGCGTCCGCAGCGCGTCCGCGCAGCGCGCTCGCAGCGCGCTGAGCGTTTATGGATTCAAGGACACAGCCAGTATATTTACAGTTTGTGCGTACAAAGCATAAATTGGTGAATGCACGAGCGCGTCCGCAGAGCGTTTGGACACGAAAATATAATAGCGTAAACATGGCCTTTCCTTATTCGATGCAAATAGCGCAACCCAAAGCAGGCCACGCATAGAGCGCCGGAACCAAGTCCATAACTTTACTTTTTCAAGGCTGGCCTCCAAGCGCTCCACCGACCCCCCCTCCTCTGCCTTCTTCGAAATTGCGTAAACATGGCCCGCTTAAGCCCAAACCCGCGTCTTTTAGTATCGAAATTGCGTAAACATGGCCCGCTTAAGGACCCAATTGCGTAGCCATGGCCCGCTTAAGCCCAAACCCGCGTCTTTTAGCATCGAATTTGCGTAGACATGGCCCGCTTAAGGACCAAGCCCGCGTCTTTTAGCATCGAAATTGCATAAACATGGCCCGCTTCAGGACCAAACCCGCGTCTTTGAGTCTTTGAGCATCGAAATTAATTGCGTAAACATGGCCCGCTTAAGCCCAAACCCGCGTCTTTGAGCATCGAAATTGCGTAAACGTGGCCCGCTTAAGCCCAAACCCGCGTCTTTGAGCATCGAAATTGCGTAAACATGGCCCGCTTAAGCCCAAACCCGCGTCTTTTAGCATCGAAATTACGTAAACATGGCCCGCTCAAGGACCAAACCCGCGTCTTTTAGCATCGAAATTGCGTAAACATGGCCCGCTTAAGGACCAAACCCGCGTCTTTTGGCGTCGAAATTGCGTAAACATGGCCCGCTTAAGGACCAAACCCGCGTCTTTGAGTCTTTGAGCATCGAAATTGCGTAAACATAGCCCGCTCAAGGCCCAGACTCTTGCCCTTTTCGATGCAAATAGCGCAGCCCTACTTTGAAGCTGCTGGTTTTACTATTGAGTTATGGCTGTTAAGGACATTAGCTAAGTATATAATTAGTAACTAGTTATAGGTGTTTATAAACTACTTAGCAAAAGGTTGTTTTTCAAAAATTCGATTGCCATTTTTTCAAAAGTGACAAAGACAATTTTGCATTTTTGTTTTGCAAAAAAAGACTGTTTACTTTCAAACTAACTATTGGGCAACAAAAAGACACACGCACAAGTACATCCCAGGAATGTTTCAACCAAACATGTTAGTATTTAAACTTTCAAATCATACACCGTGATTTGTTTTTTCCAACCTAGGAAGCTTCCAATGATTTCGCAATGACAACAAAATGTGCTGCATTGTCCATTGTGTTTGGTTTTCCAAAGTGCTAGAAAAAAGTCTCCAATTGCAGCGTAAAATGTTTTTACAAAAATCAAAGAAAATTGCAGCTACAAGCAGCTGATTTTGCAGGTGGTGCTGCAACATAGGCATATCCTTCATTCAAGAGCCTATACAGGCAGTAGCCTGCAGTGGGGCAAAACCACAAACCAGAACAGAAGCTTGCAAAAGCTAACCACCGACCAGAACAGAAGCTTGCAAAAGCTATGTGCAAATGTGAAGTATACATTGTAATGCCCATCTGGCTGGTGCACCATATTCAAAAACGATGGCTTGAGCATCTTCATCACCATCCAAAGTAGTGTCGCCAATGATATACGGGTTTGCCACTTCCATTTGCAGCTGCTCACCATTTGCAGGCTGTGATGACATGGCTGCACTCTACAGGACTAGTATAGACCAACACTTTGCATGCGTATCACACACTGCAAGAGCACATAGAATTGTAAATGTGCATGTGGATTTTATGGTGTTCAATCATGAATTTCCAAGACAACAAAAGTATTTGAGCCTGTAAACGGTTATGACCTTGGATCCAAACTACTGAATCCCTGAATTCAAAATATCATAGTCTGTGATTTTGAATTCAAATCACTGAATTCAACATCAAATTCTGTGGTTTTGAATTCAAATCCCTGAATTCAAAATCATATTCTGCGATTTTGAAGTCCCTGAATGATTTTGAATTCAAATCCCTGAATTCAAAAGCATTGTCTGTGATTTTGATTTCAAATCCCTGAATTCAAAATCATTTTCTGTGATTTTGAATTCGAATCCCTGAATTCAAAATCATATGCTTTGAATTCAAAAACCAGCCTACACAGGCTAGAATGTATGCCTGTAGAGGCTGCCATTTTTTGAGCCTGTACAGGCTTCTTCACTGATCTCCAATTCTTTTTTCATTCTTGAAAGTCTCTCGGAGATGCACAGTCATGACAGATCTATTCTAGATCCACTTGTCATACGCCCTCTCACCATGCTGCTCAACCTGTTTGCTGAGCATCTCCATGGGCTTCCTCAGGCTATGGCGCTCTGCCAACCTTGTCAGCGCCTTCTTGCGGTACTTGATGTGTCCAGTCTTGTATGCATGGACAAGGGCGCAGGCTTTATTCATCCAACCACGAGGCACATCTTTCTCAGGGTCCTGAGTTGATAGATCATAGACACATACACTTGACTTGAGAATCTAATTTTTTTATTTATGTTAATGTGTATATTTTGAGCTTTGACCAAATACATACTCAATGATGAAATACATTCAAGGTACAGTGTAGTCCCTCCACCTTGACCTGTTTGAATTGCCCCATGATGCAACTGCAAGGCATGCCATGATTCTGCACAACACCTGGTGTGTGAGTGTGCTTGTTCTTGCCACACATTGTGATTTGAACCGCAAAGCCACACACGCCAAACTTATAGCCTTTGGAATGCTGGCTCCACAAGCGCCTTTACGGGCACAACCTTGCATCAGCTGGTAACCAAAAGGGCTCATTGAGCATACGCCTGCTGAATATGACTTCATGGGCAGAAACTTTCATCAACTGGCAAACAAAAATATTCATTGTAGTGAGCATACATTTGCTTAAGATGAAATCAGCTTCCAATGTTGAAACAACTTGTGCAAGCTATATCTTGTGTGGTACACAAACACAAATTTCTTTTAGTGAAAACTTGAAAGCCTTTAGCGAGTAAGCATAAAACAAATTTGCTAAAACTGGTTTTTTGATATCTGTATCTTACATTACTTTTTACTAACTTCTTTAAATTTTCAAACAATTAAACATGTTACTGTAAAAGTTAAAAAACATTAGATAACTCACTTAACCAACAATAAACTTTGAAGCAAGTATAACAGGTTATAACAAGTTATAACACCTTGTTAGTGAGTTATAATATCCTTGTAGTGTATGTAGTAATAGTCTTAACAGCCAGAACTCAGTAGCAAAACCAGCAGCTTCAAAGTAAGCAGGCCACGCGTAGAGCACCTGACCCCCCGGGGGGTCTGCGCAGCAGGGCCGGAGCCAAGTCCACATAATAACTTTCTTCATTCGGGGCTGGCCTTCAAGCGCTCCACCGACCCCCCCGCTTCTGCCTTCTTAATCCGGACCCGTTTAAGCTTTCCGTTTTCGGGCTAAACCGCATCTTTGAGCATCGAAATTGCGTAAACATGGCCCGCTTAAGCCCAAACCCGCAGTTTTTAGTATCGAAATTGCGGAAACATGGCCCGCTTAAGAACCAAATTGCGTAGTCATGGCCCGCTTAAGCCCTAACCTGCGTCTTTTAGCGTCGAAATTGCGTAAACATGGCCCGCTTAAGGACCAAACCCGCGTCTTTGAGCATCGAAATTGCGTAAACATGGCCCGCTTAAGAACCAAACCCGCGTCTTTGAGCATCGAAATTGCATAAACATGGCCCGCTTAAGCCCAAACCCACGTCTTTTAGCATCGAAATTGCGCAAACATGGCCCGCTCTCGACTAGATTCAAAAATCTTACAGCAACAATCCCTGCCAGCACAGTGCTCAGCAAAAAATACTATTTACTATTCAATATTCTTACGATCCCTGCCAGCACAGCCAAAACTTGACTACTTTCAAAAAGAATACTCAATGCCTTCAGCCAAAACTTGACTAGTTTCAAAAACCTCAACTTGTCACAACCCCTGCCAGCACAGAGCTCTTCAGCCAAAACTTACTAGTTTCAGAAGCTTTCAACGGGGCCAGGAGCACAGTGCTCCTGGCCTCGTTGATTATCGTGAAGGAACCGTTTGTACTTAGTACATATTTCATTGTGTTTTGTAAGTTGATTTGTTGCTCGACTCGTCAACTTATCGTAAAAGGCTTTGTTGAACTTTCATTTTGTCTGCACGTTCACTGCAACTTCACTCGTGGATGTACCCGTGAAAACACTTTTGGTTCACTCATACTTTTACCCGTTGGTGAATTTTGTTCAAAATCATGTCTAATCACTGTTGAGTCATTTTTACACTTATTTGTGAGTATTTCCTAATCAGTTTAAACCTTGTTTGTGACAACTTTATGCTTAAACATGATTCACTATGATCAAAACAATTTTAAGAATGCAAAAAATGACTAGCCAGAGTGCCCTGGAAGGGTGCCCATCTCAACCCTCAACTTTGATTTGGTGAAAACATGGCCCGCTTAAGGACCAAACCCGCGTCTTTGAGCATCGAAATTGCGTAAGCGTGACCCGCTCAAGCCCCGCGTCTTTGAGCATCGAACTTGCGTAAACATGGCCCGTTTAAGCACAAAGCCGCGTCTTTGAGCATCGAAATTGCATAAGCATGGCCCGCTTAAGCGCAATGTCGAGTCTTTGTAAACATGGTCCGCTTAAGGCCCAGACCTGCGTCTTTGAGCACCGAAATAGCGTAAACATGACCCGCTTAAGCCCAAAACCCCGTCTTTGAGCATGAAAATTGCGGCCCGCTTTGACCAGCAAAAGATAGCGCAAACAAAGTTCAACATCAAAAACTAGTTAAATACCAAGGGATCAAATGCTCATGATGTTGTTTTTCAACGTGGCCCGTGGCGCGGCGTGCTTGGAGTGGGAGAGTTGGATTTGTCATTCTTTCCTTGACAGGATTGTGCCAATGTAAAGGTTGAAAGTTGAAAGGTTCCCTGATTTAGACTCAATGACATTCAATGACATCTGATTAAATTTTACATTTCTACCTTTGTGCCTGCGTTCCGCGTGCAACCCTGAGGAACAAGAAGGCATAACTTCCTCAGGGAGGGCAGCTCCTTTCATCATCCCTGGATCCCATTAGTGGTGTTGGTCACGATGTTCCTGAGAAGAAACAGCGAGCATAAACAGCCAAGATTACAAACAGTCTGACAGCCAAAATCGACGTGGGAAAGTTAGCCACAAAACCGTCACCAATATGTCGACTTGCCAATCCTCCAAGTTTGTCTCGTAAGAAGGAGGGTTCCTCTCTCTGTTGAGTTCATTGTTTGATCCGGTCTTCCACGCAAAATGCTGAGGATACTAGCATTTGTGATTTCAAACAGAAGCTGAAGGACATGCAGCAGTATGAGGATGAAATGACACGCCAATTGACAATTGTGGATGTGGTTTGCGACGTGCAGAAATTGGACGATGATCAGAAAACGCTGGTCGAGTCTGGCATCGAAGATGGTGCAGAGGTCCACGAGCTGATGGGAGAGACTGATCTTTTCACGGCGTTTGTTCCTGAAAGCATGGGGCGAGCCATTGGCCAGTGGTTGTTGCTAGTTACTGTTAGTGCCATCACCGCCAGATTGAACAGAGATGTTTGTATTGGTTCTCACTCGTTGAAGCACGTCCCACTCTCTTTGCCATTCCGCCGCCATTCCGCACTCTTCCCCAGGTGCAGGTGCTCTTCCGCAGCATGGAACCAGTGGAATGTTCGCACCGTTTTTCATATGGTCAAAGGCCAGTACAGGTGCCTTTTGTGAAGATCCCCAGCACAGTACATCAAGTCGAAAGGTTTGCCTTTGAAAACTGCCGGGCCTTGCTGAAGGTCGAGATTCCCGACTCTGTGACATCCATCGAAACTTGGGCATTCAAAGACTGCACCGCCTTAAGGGGCTTGACACTTCCCAGCTCAGTCACTTAGTTCGCACCAGATCTGCGGGGACTTGGCATCTGCAAGAGCAGCCCATCTCATCCCTCCCCATGCGCGGCGCGGGAGCTTGACATCAAGACGACCACGAGGATGTGACCGCAAGGTATATATACCATGAGGTTACCAGGTGTTGCGCATCAGGTGATTTGATTTGATTTGTCATTTACCTATCTATGGGTATAGAAGTCCCCTGCTGGGGATCTTTTTTCATGTACTTCCATGTATTTCCGGTTCCTCGAGCAAATCCAAGTATACGTTTGAGCCTTTGACATTGCCAAAAGTCCGTTAATAGCAACGTTGGAGTGCGATAGAAATGCGAGGGACTTATGAGCGCTGGCATGTACAGGCCTCGGACGCTGGCAACTGTGTGTAAATACGAGCATTTCGGGTCAAGGCTGGTATTTACGTTATTTTGGGCCTTTGACCTTGCAAAGAGCGCGTAAATACTGCAACATACTGGAATGACATAACCAGGTTCCTTGTGCCCTTGTGCTTGCATGAGCTCTGGCAACGCTTGCTTGCATGAGCTGGGGGGCCTACAAGGAGCATGCGGCCGACTGGCGGACTAGGAGGGACATGTTTGGGGGCAGGGCGGAGTCGAACCACCGGCCACCTCCTGGGTTTTTTCGGAACAATCTTGTGCTGCCCTGGATAGAACAACTAATATCAACACATGGGTTTTCTACCGATGATTTGTCGTTTTGGTCGTTTTCCCGATGTTTTCCGATGTGTTCCATTGTCCATGGGACACGGCCATTGGTTCGAAGCGGGACACGCCGCCAGCCCCGCTTCGCGAACATGCTCACGTTTCGCGTTTGTGTCGGCGGATGTGGGTGGATTTTGAGTGTGCCCCTGTGGGCAAATCCTCATGGGTTCCATTTTGGTGGAACATACTTTCAACATTTTAAGTTTTTGTAGCTTCGAATCAGCAAACCAAGGTGACCAGCATTGGAGAGTCTGCCTTCTTCAACTGTAGCTCATTAACCGAGGTGACAATCCCCAACTCGGTGAGGTCTATTGGAGACTCTATGCCTTCAAGCTTTGTGGATCATTGAAAGCTTTGACAATTCCCGACTCGGTCAACGACATTGGAAAAGAGGCCTTCATGGCCTGCACCTCTGTGGCGACATTGACCATCGGCAACTCTGTGACCTGCATCAAAGAACAATCATTTAGGACCTGCACCTCCTTGCGAGAAGTGGCCATTCCCAACTCAGTGACTCTGATAGGGGATTGTGCTTTCAGCCTTTGTCAATCATTAACCGACTTGACGATTCCAGACTCCGTGATTCACATTGGAAACGATGCCTTCATGGGCTGCACCTCCTTGGCAACATTGACCATCCCCAACTCTGTGACCAGCATCGGAGAACGGGCCTTTTCGACGTGTATCTCCTTGCGAGATGTGACAATCCCGGAGTCTGTCACGACTGGGGAGGAAGCCTTTCCAGAGTCTGTGACTTTCATAGTCAAGCCGAAGGCGTGAAGATCGCTTTTTTCCTCCAAAAAGGATGCACCGCTCCTATAGTTGGAAGGTTCCAACTTGACTCGGTCAATGCAACCCATGAATTTGGGCGAATTCGGGTTTCTCTTCTGCGTCAAATCTACCTGAGGGAGAATGGGAAGAGGTTCGTGACATGTTTTCTTCAATTCCGTGTTTTGTTTTACCAATTGTTCGGGAAGTGGTATACTGTATACTACAACCATAGCAGATGCTCCAAGGCCTATCTGAGGTCTAACTGATTATTCATCCACTTTTCGTTGTTTGGGGCCGGAAAGTGCAAATGTTCTCACCATTGTCACTTGTCATTGGGTAGTGTTTTCCACATATTTTGTCGAACTGAACAATTTTCAACAAGCGCTTCACACCAGGTACAGTTGGGTGTTTGTACAAAACCCAGTGGACGTGCAAAGCAGGCCTTAGATGCACGATATCAGTGCTTTGCAAGATCAACAAGAACATCCTCTCAGATCTGGAGGAAAAACACATTTTGGACATTCTTAGACACAGGGATTGGAATTGATTCCTGTTATTGAAATTTGTTGGACAGTGTCACAGTGTCCATCAATCTGACCCTCACAAAAGGTTGGCCCCTCACAAGCTTCCTGCCGGTGACGCCCATTGCTCATGGGCGTCAAATGATCCATCTCAAAAGGATTCAAAGGTTTGGCCATGGTTGTGGTGTGTTACTCTTCAAGGGGTGGGCGTCCTCTTGAAGAGACAGCTCACTAGTCCGTCATGTTTTGTTTGTCCTACCTTTTGGTGCAACAAATCAATAGGTTGATGATTGATGTATGACGGATGATGATTGATGTATATCTGTATGAGTGTTTGGAATCTCAACGAGACTCTCAGAGAGTGCCCAGAAACGGATGCCCAGACCTCTGCCGGTTGTGCCCAGAAACTTCTTCCAACAAGTCCTCTCCCTCGGATAGGGCCGGTTGTGCCACTGCGGACCGCGTTCCGCTGCGGACAGCGATGGCGGCATGGGCCTGGCGGCTCTTCGTGGTGCTCCGGGCGAACACAGAGAGCTTGCCCGACACGGAGCGCCGGGCCGAAGTCCGGCAGCGTGTTTGGTGTTTGGGGGACTTCAGATTTGGGTGTTGAGAACAGGGAGAAAACGCCATAACCAATATGCTGCCATCCATTGCCATCCTATCTAGAATGGTCTGGGACCATGTATTTGAGTCACCTCGATGGTTTTTGTACGACTTCCGCACAAAGATGATGCCCCACAATGACCAGGCCTCCTGCCACATGCATCCACATGCAACCCAGCGCGTTTTGTGTTTGCACTTTCCCTCCCTAAATGTCCATTGAGAGGGCCTCCTCTTCATTCATAGAATCACCCGCGCGGGCAATGAGCGGATTCCTTGTCGAGTTCCTGCATTCAATCGACACTTGTTGGATATTGTTTAGTCCCTCTTCGGACTAAACTAATGTCTAAATATTTTCACTTCAAATTGAAATGATCAATCTTTGGGAAGTAGGGTGACAAAAAGCACTCGGCAGTGAGAATAGTTGCTCCAGAATGGTGTTTGTTGCTCGCAACGTATCTTGAACGCAAAGCAAACGTTGATCGAACGCAAAGTGCACGCACTGCGAACGCAATCTGAATGCAATTACGGGGTTGGACTCATTTTTTTCCACTCCGGAGTGCTTTTTGTCACCACTTTCCAAAAGATCGATGATTTCAAAATGGAGTGATAATTATCACTCTTCAGGGGTACCAGGTACCTTTAGGGATACCAGAAGCCACAAGCTCTCCCAGCGTTTGATCATTTGCCACCTCCAGGAGCAGAAGGTGCTGCAAGAGATCTTTCCGGATGGCCATGCAGCTTCCTCCAAAAGTTCTCAAGTCGCGTTGTTCTGATTCTGTGGGCAGTGTTGTGGACCCACATCCCAGACACCACCTGTGTCGGGAAGCCCAAGCCTCCGGGTGCCCCGAAGCAACGCCTTGGTGTCGTTGGGTTCCGAAGATCATTAGGGGCGTACTCTTGTTCTCCAATCACCCAGCACCGTGGACCGGCGCAAGGGGCGCGTGTGGTCAGAGCCATGGAAGACGCGACGGCGAAGGCGACGCGGCGGCGCATGCGGACGCGGTGGAATCACTGCGACCTGAGGACTTCTGCGAGGATGATCGCATCACTTGCCAGGATGGCCACGTCACCGAAATCCGCGCTGACAACGAGGGCGGGGAGGTCCAGCTGCGGGAGACGTTGCCGGAGGCCATTGGAGAGATGAGATATTTGACGTGCCTCGGAGGGAGTAAGAAGGACGGTAGTAGTTGGAGGCCATCGCTACTTAGTAAGAAGAACGCTACTAGGTGGGTGGTGTGGGAGTTGAGTTGAGTTGGCTTCGATGTGTCTTTCATGACGTCGCGGATGTTTCATCGTGTTTCCATGAGTTCCCACATCTAAAGTCAGGTGCTCCAGAGCAAACCTGGAGGACGTCGCTGCGAATCCTTTGAGAGAAGAGAAGAATCATGTACCTAATGCGATATTAATGTAAGAGAGGGGAGCGCTGTGAGCGGTACATTTTTCGATGCAAGTTGCAGTTTTCATTTTTTTTGCATCTTGATTAGTCTCCTGGAGTATTTGTTGATTCCTTGTTCTTTGTTCAGTTTTTCCATCCTAAATTGATCCTCCAGATTTTGTTCAAGACTTATTTCAAACATAGTTGTTCTTTTTCTAATTGTTGCTACCTTTCCTTACTAGCGGTTTGCATTTATTTATTTTATTTAGTCTTTTTGATTTCCTTCTATGTGTCTCTGCTTCTTGATTCCTTCCTCACATCCATTGTTGTGTTATTCAAGCGGCTCCTATTCTTAGAAGGATTCTCTCTTAGACAAAACTGTTTCTTGCATGATTCTTTCTGTGATTAGGTACTGAGAGGCAAAAAAGAAAGGGCGGCCATACAATAGAAGGACCTAGACTCTAGACCAGAGACAAAAGCTGCTATCTTTTCTTTGATACGTTGTTGATAATTATGTTGTTGATTGTAGATGAAACCTTTGCAGAGCATTGATTTCTTGGACAAGAACTTCCAAATCTATTGCCCTTACAAAGAAACGCCCTCTTATAAACGAAGATGGTGATCCTCCACAATGAGGGATTCCGTGGTCATACAATATATATAATATGTGTTTATACGGTCAAAGTTTTAGCAAAGATGAACTGAACATGGTAACAAGATGTAAAGGATAACAGCTTTGTATAACGGAGAAGGTTCTGGGTTAGGTGGAGTGCATTATTTGCGGTCAGAATCTTCTCAAAGGTAAGGAAGTTGAAAAAATAACGCAACAACACATGCTATGATGGAGGGTTTTGGAAAAGGTGGGACGCACGCTCAGACTCAGTGCACTGCCACAGTCTCTCGGACTCAGGACGGGAGGGCCTGGCCATACTGATTCTTTGGATAAACAATTCACATCAGCACTTGCACGTGCATTGCCAAAGGCCTCTACAAACTTGGTCTCCCAACAAGCCCCAGCATACCGAAGAATTACAAAAATATACACAAAACTGAAAAAAACAAAAGTCCTGTCACGATTGCATGTGTATTTGTGTTTTAGATGTATATATATATTTATATTTGTTGGATGTCCTCAAATATTCGCAAGTTTGTTTGGAAAGCAACGTTGCGGATAAAGATTGGGGTGATGTGTTTGATATTGTGTTTAAAGTGTCTTTGGGATTTCCTGAGTTCCTTGGACATGTCAATGTTCTAGTTTTGCTGGTTGGTCTGGAAAGCAAAGTTGCTGACAACGATTAGGATACAAACCTCACACAAGTTGTGAGGGGACACTGGTTGATTGAAATATATTCAAGAACGCGCCACTGAGAGCTGCCTTCTGTAAAGTAAATGTTACTATATTCAATTTCCCGTTGGGATGACCTTTCTCTTTTCCTGAGGCGTTTGTGGTTTCAAAACAACAACCTCAGCTCATTGCCGGAGTCCTTGGGCAACCTACACAATCTGCAGCCCCTCGGTTTCGGCTTAAACGATCGGCGTCGGATGGGTCTGGGATGGTGTTTCTCTACCCACCATGTCCGCCCGACCAGTCCACGATGTAGAGAAAGACCTTCTGTCGGCAGGTCAACCAAGGCCTTGGGTTTTGATCCACAGCCAAGTGTGCCAAAAGGAATTTTTCGGGGGCCACGCAGGCGACGCAGGTGACGAGTGACCTGTGAGTTGATGCGAGGTTTCTGGATTTGAGCAACAACTCACTGCACTCACTGCCTGAGTCGCTGGGCAACTTTCAGAAATTGCAGCCACTCGGCCAAGCATTGAATCTTCAGGATGCCACGAAGTGGAGATGTCGTGTCAGCTCACAGTTGAGAGGCTTGGTACCACCTTTTGTGGGGACGCTGGCACCCGCTTCGCCCAGTCTATTCCTGTTCACGGAACCTGCGATCCACGAGGGTCCCCAGTGTCATGAGCCACAGCAATTTAAGCCATTTGTTGTCCTGAACCAGATGACTTGTGTAACTCATCGAACTCCATTGCAAGTATCCACGAAAAAAATGCGATTGTTGAAGGGTGCCGCTTGAGAGGCAACACTCCGGACTCGAACAGTTGCCATGATTTACCTACAAGTCAATGACCTCATGAAATACTGACGTTGGTCATACAAAAGCACGGTTAAAGGAGATAAAGGACCAGGTTTGGACCTGGGTCAGACTGGACTTGTACGGCTCTTCGAGACCTGGACCTGGGTGGGTCTCCAGACCGCGCTACCTCCCTCCCGTGTTTTGAAGCGAAGACAGGGGCGAAAAGTGAGGTTTCCGAAAGAGTCATCTATAGTTGGTGCGACTTCTATCTATAGTTTGTGCGACTTCTATCTAGTAGGGCCAGCTTGGAAATGCCTATGGAGTTTCCATGTGCATGGTTTCAAGGCCGCGAAATGGCTGTTTCAGCTTTGTGTTTCCAGCTGGTTTTGTGGTTTTGCGGATTGATCGGACGATGCCCCTCTTTTTCCTATT